ATACGAGAAATTTGACCCTTAATAACTCCACGAAGCGGTTGGCAGGATGCGGACCGCTGCCCTACATGCTGCGCACACCCCCTCGTGTGCCGTGCCGGCCTTCATAGATGCTCGCTAACAGCACTTGCCCCAACAGTCTGTTAAGCCTGTACGGGTAAATCCCCGGCACACGAGGGGGTGAGTGGCCACGACCACGCCCGGCCGCCTTTGTCTCTCAAACCCACCACCACCCTACACAGCCAGTTCGTAAGGGTTGTAACGTAAACAAAGTGTGCCAATTAGTTACTTGTTAAGCACACCGGTGTGTTGGAAAGTAAATCCACAACATTTAAAATTTGAGCAGTCGTTCAGCTGGTAATTACATTCAGCTTCATCGGGCGATTTTTGTCAGAATCGTGAAGAGATCCACCTGCAAGAAATCCCCTTTATTATGAACGTTCCAGCATGCTCCATCATCGCGACCACACTGCACCAACGACAACAAACTCAGTCACTGCGGACCTTTCATCCAGCGGTAGATTGATCATGGCTGATGATGATCATGATGGTGTGTGTGTGTGGCGGGCGTGCAAGGGCATGCGTCTCGAGCAATACACGCTTGCTTCGAGACGCACTTTGTCCCGTCACGCTAATGTGGAAATGGCGTGTGTTGCGACCAGTGCCGGATTATCCTCGTAGCAAAAAAGTAGCAAATGCTACGGGGCCCGCACTTTCAAGGGCCCCGCGCTAAATGCTTTCAAGCTATAAATTCCGGTTCAGTGATTCTGCACTTGCTCTATTAATATAGTACTATACCGCCTTCAACTTTTACTGGGTGTTTAAGGTCAGCGATTCGTCGTATCATCTGGCTGTATAGAAAATAAATAAAAATACAATTACTTTACTATGCAAGTTCAAAATGTACGTGTTTTAACATTTATGGGTTTCTTTTATTTAGGGCCCCTTTATAACAAATGCCACAGGCACGAGCTGAATCCGGCACTGTTCGCGACTCTCACCTCGATCGCCGTGCGTAGGATCCCAAGGCCCCGCTCGCGATTCAACAATTATAACGGCAGAAGCGTCAGGCTCGGGTTTAATTACTCATCAGGGGTGGGGGGGGGGGGGGTGCATACGGCTCAGCCAATTAACTAAGTGGGGGGGGGGGGTGCACGCTAACAGCGCTTGCCCCTACAAGTCTGTTAAGGCTATGCGGTGGGGGGGGATCTTCGCCTTGGTGTGTGCGTCTGTCTGCCTGTGCGTTTAATTGGCAATTGTTAGGATGGCGCGCCCGTTCTGCCATCTGTTCCGTGTTTTTATTTGGATCTCTGCCTGCCTGTCTATCGTGCTCATTTCAACGGCTTGTGGGTTTTGTCTGTTTCATTGTTGTGCGTCTTTGTTGTTTCATTTCATTGCCCTGTGTGTCTGTTGATCTAATATCGCCGGCAGACCCGAGACGTTGCCACAGCACTGATGCAGTTGAGTATAGATCAGTTGGCAGTGCCGGATTACCCATCATATCTGCCGGGTACTAGTCTGTTTTTCCGAGTTAATTTCCCCCCCCCGCTTCCCCAGATTTTGCCATTGTTGCTGCATTGGCATTCGTGCACCGCCCCTGCTTCTGCTGTTGTTGTTAGACTGGTGTCCTTAATCTTAGTTGTCTTGTTGTTATTTTGACTTGCATCCCACTGGGATTTTTTGCACACAGCGTTGGTGTACGGTGCTATTTCAGGAATATTTTTGATGTTTTTTTTTTTCCTGGATTTTCTGTTTGCACAGTCACATAATCACTTTAAGATGTTTTCTTGTTCATGTTTTTTTTGTTTGTTGCGGTTGCACCCGATTCAAGAGCCGAATGGCTCACAGGGCTATACCAAATAAATGAACTATGTTGTTGGTGCACTTGGGCTACGCCCATCCCCAAACCCTTATAAACAGTTCGCCTTTAGAGGCTGACTCCTTTGCCTTGATGACGAGCGCTTGTGTTGCGATCGAAACGTCGTGATTTGTTTTATTTGATTTCTAACCACGTGACTTTACCGAAAGAACCAAAGAGTATGGATTCCTGCAGTCACGAAAGCTTCAAATCAAGACGGATTATCCCAGTAGCAAAAGTAGCTACATATGCTACGGGCCCGCACTTTCAAGGGTCCTGCGCTAAATGCTTTCAAGCTATCAATTCCGGTTCAGTGATTATCCACTTGCTCTATTACTATGTTACTATACCGCCTTCAACTTTTATGAACGACTGGGTGCTTAAGCTTAGCGATTTGTCGTATTATCTGGTTATATAGCAAATAAAAAATACAATGACTTTACTATGCAAGTTACAAATTTGTGTTTGAATATTTGTGGTTTTTTTAGGGCCCCTTTATAACATATACGACAAGCCCCGCACTAGCTTAATCCGGCACTGTCAGTTAGTGAGGAATAGATTAGCATACAGTGAGGGAAAAAAGTATTTGATCCCCTGCTGATTTTGTACGTTTGCCCACTGACAAAGAAATGATCAGTCTATAATTTTAATGGTAGGTTTATTTGAACAGTGAAAGACAGAATAACAGCAACAAAAATCCAGAAAAACGCATGTCAAAAATGTTATAAATTGATTTGCATTTTAATGAGAGAAATAAGTATTTGACCCCTCTGAAAAACATGAGTTAGTACTTGGTGACAAAACCCTTGTTGGCAATCACAGAGGTCAGACGTTTCTTGTAGTTGGCCACCAGGTTTGCACACATCTCAGGAGGGATTTTGTCCCACTCCTCTTTGCAGATCTGCTCCAAGTCATTAAGGTTTCGAGGCTGACGTTTGGCAACTCGAACCTTCAGCTCCCTCCACAGATTGCATATGGGATAAAGGTCTGGAGACTTGCTAGGCCACTCCAGGACCTTAATGTGCTCCTTCTTGAGCCACTCCTTTGTTGCCTTGGCCGTGTGTTTTGGGTCATTGTCATGCTGGAATACCCATCCACGACCCATTTTCAATGCTCTGGCTGAGGGAAGGAGGTTCTCACCCAAGATTTGACGGTACATGGCCCCGTCCATCGCCCCTTTGATGCGGTGAAGTTGTCCTGTCCCCTCAGCAGAAAAACACCCCCAAAGCATGTTTCCATCTCCATGTTTGACGGTAGGGATGGTGTTCTTGGGGTCATAGGCAGCATTCCTCCTCCTCCAAACACAGCGAGTTTAGTTGATGCCAAAGAGCTCCATTTTGATCTCATCTGAACACAACACTTTCACCCAGTTGTCCTCTGTATCATTCAGATGTTCATTGGCAAACTTCAGACGGGCATGTATATGTGCTTTCTTGAGCAGGGGGACCTTGCGGGCACTGCAGGATTTCAGCCCTTCACGGCGTAGTGTGTTACCAATTGTTTTCTTGGTGACTATGGTCCCAGCTGCCTTGAGATCATTGACAAGATCCTCCCGTGTAGTTCTGGGCTGATTCTTCACCGTTCTCATGATCATTGCAACTACACGAGGTGAGATCTTGCATGGAGCCCAAGGCCGAGGGAGATTGACAGTTATTTTGTGTTTCTTCCATTTGCGAATAATCGCACCAACTGTTGTCACCTTCTCACCAAGCTGCTTGGCAATGGTCTTGTAGCCCATTACAGCCTTGTGTAGGTCTACAATCTTGTTCCTGACATCCTTGGAGAGCTCTTTGGTCTTGGCCATGGTGGAGAGTTTGGAATCTGATTGATTGCTTCTGTGGACAGGTGTCTTTTATACAGGTAACAAGCTGAGATTAGGAGCACTCCCTTTATGAGTGTGCTCCTAATCTCAGCTCGTTACCTGTATAAAAGACACCTGGGAGCCAGAAATATTTCTGATTGAGAGGGGGTCAAATACTTATTTCCCTCATTAAAATGCAAATGAATTTATAACATTTTTGACATGCATTTTTCTGGATTTTCTTGTTGTTATTCTGTCTCTCACTGTTCAAATAAACCTACCATTGAAATTATAGACGGATCATTTCTTTGTCAGTGGGAAAACGTACAAAATCAGCAGGGGATCAAATACTTTTTTTCCCTCACTGTATATGATATAGGTTTTTTTGGGTTAGATCGCGTAAAAATAAATGTGTCGCTAAACCCGCCACCACCCGACAGCCAGTAAGGTTTGTCATGTAAACAGAACGTGCCAATTCGTTACTAGTACAGCACATCGGTGTGTTGGAGAGCAAATCCACATTTATAATCCAAACTAGATTAGCATAACACCTTATTTTGGAGTTCAATTCGCTGAATTAACAAGTTTGGCTAAACAATGCCTACGCACGGATTACATAATCGACCTGACCAGTTTTCTCTGCGGTAATTCCTTAATAGTTTCTAAGTACTATCATGGACCTCCTCCCTGTTACTTACAGACGCACAAAGAGCACTGTGATGCATAAATTACACTGTGGATGATCGTTGCCTTTGCAATTGCGGAACCTAAACTCTGTGTAACTCGTTGCCCTTCGAGCTTAGGACTTCAGAGACGCTTTACAAGTCTTAAAATCTCGACGAAAAACGTATCTATATTCTTGGTTCTTTCGGTAAAGTCACGTAGAAGGAAAACAATAAAATAATAAAGGGAAACAATAAAAATATATTATTTTATTGTTTCCCTTCTACGTGACTTTACCGAAAGAACCAAGAATATGAATCCCTGCAGTCACGAAAGCTTTAAATAAATAAAAAACGTATCTGTTTAAAATGTCTCTCTCTTTGGTTATGTTCAACGTCTTCTTCTTCCCTTGGTTGTTGTTAAACTATTTTCCGCCTTGCCACGCGTAGCACCCCGAGAACAATTTGTTTCAGGTGCGCTTCGTAAATGTTAACTACTACTATTATTACTACTACTACTACACGCTTTGAATCTCCGCTGGAAAGTATTCTAAACGATTCCCGTTCCCTCTCTCCACAGATGACAAACATGCCGGCAGCAAACACCTCACTGGCCACAGCGACCACCAATGGCAACGATTCCGAAAAATGGCTAAATGGGAAATATGTCACCCAGGTCGTCATGTTCTCCGCCGTGCTGCCGTCTCTTCTGCTCATGTGCTTCGTCTTGTTCTTCTTCTGGTACGAGCCGCGCCTGCGCGACAGCGCCCGACACATTTTCTTCCTCAACCTCGTTGTTGTGGACGTCTTCTTCATCGTCGCCGTCGGGTTGCAGGCGTTCCACGAGCTCAACAATGCTCACAGCATCCCGATCACCGAGTGCATCATCTTCGCCATCGTTTCCATGACGTGCATCGTTAACGGCATTGGGTGCATCACCATTATGGCCGTGGAGCGCTACATCTCCATCTGCCACCCGCTCCGATACCACAGCCTCATCAACAGCGCTTCAATTCGCAGGTGCCAATTATGTGAACGCGTTCCAACTAAGGGGTTTGACTTAATGAATGGCATCCGCTCTGTCCGCCTGTCTGTAACGGAGGGTCGCGCTAACTCTCGTAAATGTGATCTTCTTCTTTCTTCTTATATATGTAAAAGTCTCCGCGTGCGCACGCTTGTGGGGGATTTGGCTCTCAAACGGTGGGGTTCAAGTCGGGAAAAAACTGCCGGGTGGCACGCCCCGAGGCCCCTGCTTGGTATAGGCTATTCCGTTTTCCCAGCCGTCAACTTTAAATTAGTTTAATTAGCTATTTAGTGCCATTCTTATTTTAATTATTTACCTACTGCGCGAGCTCGACCGTACCAACTGACGCCAATTGCGTGGGGGGGGGGCGGACCCTGTCACGTGATGCGTGTTCACGGCACCCTGTCACGTGAGTACTTTGTGCTATACAGTCACTAAATATACTGATATACTGTCAGCATGTACTCCTGTAGAGTCTATAAATACTGCTATAGAGTCAGCATGTACTACTGTAGAGTCCATAAATACTGTTATACAGACAGCATCTACTACTGTACCGTCGATTAATACTGCTATAGAGTCAGCATGTACTACTGTAGAGTTGATATCTACTGCTATAGAGTCAGCATGTACTACTGTAGAGTTGATATCTACTGCTATACAGTCAGCATCTACTACTGTAGAGTCTATAAATACTGCTATAGAGTCAGCATGTACCACGGTAGAGTCGATATCTACTGCTATAGAGTCAGCATGTACTACTCTACTCATGCCCTGCTGTAATCATAGCTTACACCACAGTATACATGCACTGCTGCAGGGAAAGCAGGTACCACCACTGTATGCACTGTTGTCATCATACCAGCTACCACAACAGTATGCATGCACTGCTGCAGGGAAAGCAGGTACCACCACAATATGCACTGCTCTAATCATACCAGGTACCAGCACATTCAGTATGCACTGCTGTTGTTAAACCATGTACCACCACAGTATGCACTGCTGTTATCATAGCTACCACCACAGTTAGTATGCACTGCTTTTGTAATAGCTGCTACCACCACTGTCAGTATGCACTGCCTTTGTGATAGCAGGTTCCACCACAGTCACTAGGCACTGCTGTAGTGATACCACAAACCACCACAGTCGGTTCTAGATTTTAAGCTTTCGTGACTGCAAGGATCCATACTCTTTGGTTCTATTCAGTAAAGTCACGTAGGTAAAAAAGTAAAACAACAAAAATCACGACGTTTCGGCCACAACACAAGCGGCCTTCATCAGGTGAAGGGACCAGGCTGTCTCGAGGACATCGCTGGAGTGAAACACAGCCACGCTCAGACCGCGACCTTTAAGCTGTGTGCGAGGAAACAAGGTGCCTTGACAAAGGAATTAGCATAAAAATTAGCATTTGATTGGCCGACTTAGCATGATGAACGGTGTAGAGGTGGTGTACATGCGGGTGAACATGCCAGTTGGCGCGGGGGGGAGGGGGAGTTTACCTATTGATGGTGTGAAAAGGGAATTTTTAAGAGCTGCGAAAGTTTGGGGTACCACTACTTGAAAAATATACTGTACCATTGAAATTAGTTTAATGTTTGGTTCGATTTAGAACATCTTTCCACTGGCAAGACCGCCTCAGCAGTACTTAACTCAGCCCAATTGGTCTCTATGGTCAAAGACGTTGTACTGTCCCCTGACAATATACTTGTCAGCTTCGATGTGGTCTCTTTGTTCACCAAGGTCCCAGTACCTGATACCATTGAAATAATTGAAAATTTGGTCCAACATGGACTAGACCCCGATACACCTGCACTGGTTAGGCACTGCCTCAACAATACCTACTTTACTTGGAATGGCTCCTTCTACAAACAAAATGAGGGTACCCCCATGGGATCCCCTTGTCACCAGTGATAGCCAATATTTTAATGGAGAAATTTGAATCAGACGCCATCCAGATTTCCACCCTCAGACCTTCCCTGTGGAAGAGATATGTCGATGACACTTTCGTCGTTTGGCCACATGGCCTCCCAGCTCTGAACCTTTTCCTACACCACATCAATTCCAGACATCCCGCCATCAAATTCACCATGGAAGTGGAGAAAGATGGCAAGCTACAATTCTTAGATGTTCTGTTTGAGAGGAGACCTGATGGCTCATTGGGGCATTCTGTCTACATGAAACCCACCCACACAGATTCCTACTTGAAACCTGATTCCCACCACCACCCAGCCCAAAAGAATTCTCTCATCAAAACTTTATACCATAGGGCTCATTGCATTTCGGACCAACACCACCTGACCAGTGAATTAAAACATGTACACCTGGCCCTCAAAAGGAATGGATACTCTGACCGTACCATCCGCCAAGCTGTTTCTCCCTCCATACAGAAACAACCACTTGATACTCCGGTCAAAACCATCACACTACCATATATAGCAGGCGTTACTAAAAAGATTTCCAAAATTCTAAACAAACACAAGTACCAGGTCCGCTTCAATACAGTACACAAAATTAGTGATCTGATCCCATCCGTGAAGGATGTCATTCTTGACTTACAGTACCCCGGGGTTTACAAATTGAGTTGTACCTGCGGTGATTGCTATATCGGGGAGACAAAGCGACATGTCTCTGACCGAATTCGCGAGCACAAATCAGATTTGAAACACGGCAGAACGAATTCTTCTGCCGTAGCTGATCACTGTTACAACGCTGTGGGTGATCACGATATAATTTTCTCCGATACCAAGGTTCTTTGCAAAACCACGGGTTTCTATCAGAGATTTGTTCACGAGGCAATTCAGATCTACAAACACAGACACAATTTCAACCGAGAAGATGGTTTCAAATTAAGCAACCATTGGAAAGATGTTCTAAATCGAACCAAACATTAAACTAATTTCAATGGTACAGTATATTTTTCAAATAGTGGTACCCCAAACTTTCGCAGCTCTTAAAAATTCCCTTTTCACACCTTCAATAGGTAAACTCCCCCTCCCCCCCCGCGCCAACTGGCATGTTCACCCGCATGTACACCATCTCTACACCGTTCAGCATGCTAAGTTGGCCAATCAAATGCTAATTTTTATGCTAATTCCTTTGTCAAGGCACCTTGTTTCCTTGCACACAGCTTAAAGGTCGCGGTCTGAGCGTGGCTGTGTTTCACTTCAGCGCTGTCCTCGAAACAGCCTGGTCCCTTCACCTGATGAAGGCCGCTTGTGTTGTGGCCGAAACGTCGTGATTTTTGTTGTTTTACTTTTTTACCTACGTGACTTTACCGAATAGAACCAAAGAGTACACCACAGTCGGTTTGCACTGCTGTAGTGAAAGCAGGTACCACCACAGTCGGTATGCACTGCTGTAGTCATCGTGCATACCATCGTGGTGTGTGTGCGTAAGTCCATGTATGTGTGTGCGTAAGTCAATGTGTGTGCGTGGTGTGTGTGTGTAAAAAACTACTCTTTTTTATTAAGTTACTTCTTTCACAGTAATAATGCCTGCGTCTAAGTCCATGTGTGTGTGTGTGTGGGTCGATGTGCATGTCTGCGGCCATGTGTGTGTGGGTCGATGTGTGTGTGTGCGCGTCGCTCCATGTCAGTCAGTGTAAGTACATTTCTTTCTATGTGTGTGTGTTTTTGGTCCATGTGTGCGTGTCTGTACATACATGTGTGTGTGTGTGTGCGTACGTCCATGTGTGTGCATACGCCCATGTGTGTGTCTCATTCCATGTTTGTGTGCCTCTATGTGCGTGTGTCAGTCCATGTATATTTGTGTGGGAGTCTATGTGTGTCAGTCGATGTGTGTATGGCAATGTGTCTATGTGTGACAGTCCATGTGTGTGTGTGCATCGATATGTATGTGTGTGTGTAAGTTCATGTGTGTGTGTGTGTGTGAGTCTATGTATGTGTGAGTCGATGTGTGGCTGTCAGTCGATGTGTGTGCGTGGGTCCATGTGTGTGTGTAAGTCCCTGTGTGTGTGTCTGTAAGTCCATATGTGTGTGTGTAGGTCAATGTGTCTGTAAGTCTATGTATGTGTGTGTGTCACTCGATGTGTGTGTGTAAGTCAATGTGTGTGTGTCACTTGATATGTGTGTCAGTCCATGTGCATGTGTGTTCGTCGCTGTGTGTGCGTGGCTCCATGTTAGTCAGTGTTAGTCCATTTCGTTGCGTGCCTCTCGGTCCATGTGTGCGTGTTAGTCCATATGTGTGCTTTATCCACTTGCTCAGGGCCTATGATACCATCATTAGGCCTGGGCTCTGCGTTGCTCCTCGTACTTTTCGAGTCCCTGACCCTCTGCTCACGATCCCTTAAGGACCTTCATGATGGTGAGCGGCCCCACATCAAACTACGTGACCGTGAATCAGAGCCACTCCCTGTACATCTTGGGGTGCGACAGGGATGTCCACTGCCTTCCACATTCCTTTACATATATTTGGACCACGTACTTCGTTAAGCCTTCAATGCCTCTACCGGAAGAATTCATATCTGGTACAGATACAATGGGAGGCTCATCGATGCCTGGGTGCGGTCAATCGATGGCTCCATATTGGTCAACCACGTTATGTATGCCGATGATCTGGTAATTAATGCTCACTCAGAAGAGGAGTTGGACGCGCTGCTGCTCAACCTGGAGCTTGCCACTAAGAGGTGGGGCCTTACCATCAGCCCCACCAAAACTAAGCACCTGCCTGGGTATTTTGTACCATCGGACAATCCACCCCCATAACTCACAATTGGTGATGGGCCAGTTGTGGAGAGTGCAGAGTTTCCCATACCTGCCCAGTGTACTCATGACCGGCTCCGGTTTAACACCAGAGGTCTCACTCTGAATCAGTTGAGCGGCATTATCTTTTCATCGGCTGTGTAACACTGTGTTGAAGCTACCTGGTCTCTCGCTCCGCACGAAGCTCCACGTTGTCTCGCCCACGGTCATTCCCTCCCTTCTCTACACTTGCGAAACTTAGACCCCCCTAATGCAACATTTTCGCCGGTTACAAACATTTAGGCTGGCCTGCCTACGATCCATCCTGGGTTTAACCAGGCTGGATTGTGTGATGAGCTCACAAATACTTGAAAGATCTGGACAAAGTCCCATTGGTGACCTCCTACGCCAGGCAAGGCTGCGTTGGCTGGGCCATGTAGCCTGCATGGCCAGGCAAGGCTGCGTTGGCTGGGCCATGTAGCCTGCATGCCCAGCCACCGCATGCCTAAACACCTTTTGTTCCGCCGGATCGAGGTCTCTAAACGGGCGTGGCACAGGCTAGAGAAGAAATGGAGTGATGTGCTACAGGACGATGTGCAGCTGAGTGGACTTGTCGATGACTGGTACCAGCGGTGTCAAGGTCGGTATCTGTGGAGGAGCCTCGTGAAGAACGCTACAGGCCAGTTGGAGGCAGTCGGCCTCCAACAACAACGGAGGGCGGAGGAGCGACACTCACAAGAATGAGCGGTGCACCATGTGGCTAAAGCACAGCAAGTTAGCAGGGTACAGGGCACAGGTGGTGCATCTGCCAGTCATCTCAGTCGACCTGTGCCATCTGGGTCTGCCCCGTGACCTCCTGCCAGCAGGTGTTCGACACTTCACGTGGCCTCAAGGTGCACATAGCCTGCCACAAGCGTTGTGCTGCGGTTGTTGTTGTTCAGTCTATATATGTATGTGCGAGTCGATATGTGTGTGTAACTCTGTGTGTTTGAGTCCATTTGTGTGTGTAACTACATGTGTCTCTCAAGTCGATGTCTGTGTGTGTGAGTCCATATGTGTTTGCGTGCGTGTAAGTCAGTGGGTTTCTGTGTATGGGTCCATGTCTGTTTGTAAGTCCATGTGTGTGTCTGCCTTTTTCACCCGGGCAACGCCAGGTATTAACCGCTAGTCTAATATAAAATACAATGTGAGTATAAAGCTACCTTGCTATAAGGGGCCGTCCATTAATGACGACACTCACCTAAGGGGGGGGGTCAGACATTTGTGACGAGGGAGGGGATTTGAGAAGTGTGACGTCACATCAAAATGCGCAACTTTAAATATAAACAACACGTTATACTTAATTAAATAGAATTGTTATGACGTGGATTTCCGCTTGTCATTATTAACTATTTGATTATTGAAATTTACTAAGGTCACCTTTTATTTATTCCATGAAGGAGCATTTTACTTCTCCATGGGAGAATGGAGAAGCATAAATTTAGTTATTCAACATTTTGATTTTAATGATTCTACCAGGGCTTTTCATTCTGTGGAATGAATACGTGATTGTCATAATTGTACTCTCCATTTTTCTTCATTCTACTACAAAGTTTCAAGTATTTTTTTATAGTTATAATTACTTTTAATATATGATAATTATAAGAGAATTTCAATATAATATTCTGAACATCTCTCAGTTTTAGTTTGACGATGAATCTTTTTAAGTGAATTTTATGCTAAATTTCAGCTTTCCATCGCCTCCTTTTTAATACATGTTTCGCCTACAAACATCAGAGTGCAGGGCCACATTAAATACGCACTACAATGACGATAGTTTAAAGCGATTTGAAGCATGTTTTATTTTTAACATGGAAATATGGTTTTTGGGGGGGGGCAGAGCTTTGTGACGTCATATTTGAAGGGGGTCTGATTTTTTGTGATGCCGTGTGACGAGGGGGGTGTCAAAAATCGTCCAAAATCGCGTGACGTCATTTATGGACGGCCCCTAAACTGAGCACTGAGCACATTTTATCGGACTGCCGTGCTAAGTCGTCTGTGTTGTGTTATTTGAAAAACATTTGCAGAAATCTCACTTCTATGTATTTTCGGGTTGTACCGCACCTTGGTCAGCATGATGTCCAACGTTTTAATCTCCGTGCTGTAAGCTTCTCCAGCAAGTGATTTGAGGAATTTAATTTCTCCCCTCTATTATTTAGCATTGTCTGCTGCTGGTGTTTACATGGCAAGCGAAATTGCTGTTTTCAACATTCTTCTTCCTGGGATTTATCCCACTCATGTGAGGAATCTTCCCAGTTATCCCATGTGTTGGGCCATCTACATGTACACTCCACAATCCTTCATATTCTGGTTAATCACTTCAAACCTCCTCTATCAACATTTGCCTCTCGGTCTGCATATTGGCCCTTAAATGGTCATCACCTTCCGTTCTAATTCTGGGTTTCCCCTCTTATAACCACATGTCCTAGCCGTCTAAATCACCTTTCAGTTTAGTTTATCTTTGAATTGTTACCACCAATATTGCCTGTTCGTCTCTTCATCTTTAGATCGAGTATTGTGATCCCTGATATGGATTTTGTCATCCTAATTTATGCAGTGTACAACATCTGCTGTTACCAACATTCAGACCCATATGTCAGTACAGTGCAATAAAGCGGTGTTATTGTCATGAGAAATATTATCACATGAATTTCGCGCCGTTGATGTCAAATTTAGAATACACATTTGCCTTCGTATGAAGACAATGATTTTCATTCAAAGGGTTCTCAAAAATGCTCCCTTCATCACATCTTATCTTGACCATTCTTTGACCTGTGGCAGTGTATACTGTATAGGGGATCTCCAGAGGTAAATATCCCCACACGGCTCAAGGTGGATAATACAGCAACCAGACTGCAAAATGGACATCACCTACTGAGTAGGGGGCAGATGTTGGGATGTGGTTTTCTCAAAGAAGCAATATGTGGGTAATTTATCAAGTTTAGCACATTTGGGCAGTGCCAAGGGACAGAGGGAGCTCCAGACCGTGAATGCAAGCGTAAAAATGAGTTACCTTTTATTGAGCGGAGGTGCAAAACCTATTTTGTGGGTGGTTACGTGGAAGATTGAATACCGCCATTACGGTATGTTGCAGAGGTGCACAGATTCCCTGGTTACGACTGCATGTGTTGCATGAAAAAAATAAACGTGCCGTCTGCTTGACAGTGGATATGAGAGATCCCGTGACTTGATTTGAAAATGAGGTAACCATGTGTGCCGATGTCACAATCCCGATATTTTTTAATTACCCACAATTTGCTTCGTTGGGGGGAACAAAAAACCCCCATTGCAACATCGCCCCTACTAATAGACGAGATCCATTTACTGCTTTTTTGAGTTCAGTTTGTTGTCCTTCCCCCGCACATCCAATTAGCACCGTTGGTTACGTACTGTGTGAAATAAGTTATGCAGACATGTACATGTGCAATGACACCGACGAGTGTATTCTTGGAGCCTCTTTATTTAAGACACGGTGACTATACTCGGCCCGGATCTTCATTCGGCGGCTCGTAACTTCATGCTCTCCCCTTTTATGCTCCTTGAGCCCCCTCTCTCGAACTTTCCTGTCCTTGTGTTTTTCCCTTAGAAAATCCTTCTCCCTCTTCTCTAACGGATCCACTATTTTCGTCCAAACCCCTTTTCCTCCAATCTCTTTAAAGCCCACCTCCCGACCAATCCCAGTGGAGGCCTCTTTCGGTCAATCGGAGACCTTGGTCTATTTTCGAACGAGCCGTTAGGCTGCACATTGGCTTGGGATCATTTTCGGTTATTACACATGCATTACTGGCCACTGCTGCTGTATACCTTGTATACCTTGTATACAGCAGGATACAGCAAGCTAGAATGTCGTGGCACGATGGAATGGATGAGATGACCTATAAAGCACTTTGAGATGTTAAGTGTCCTATAAAGGTGAATTATTAATCTTTATCTATGGGTCTCTGAGTAAGACTTCCTCATTTGTGGTGGTCACCACTGGGGGTCCCCTTGGCTAGATTGCCGCAGGGAAAAGTAATGTTTTAGATTATATGAAATGTAAGGCCTTTTGAGATGTTGAGGTATCTTAGCATGATACAAATGCACAAACTTCTGCCCCCCTCCCACCCTCCGTATCCTTATTCCCAGTGTTTGAATTCTTCCCAGGTGTCTGGTTGTCATCTGGATCATTCCGAGCATCTCCACGCTCATCGAGGCCTGTTTCTTCTTCATGAACGACCTCTCGTTATTCCCCACCGTGTCCGACTGCAACAATTTGCATCTGGGAAAACTCTTCAGAAATGCTTACACATTCATCTGCTTGCGGATCACCGAGTCAGTGGTGCTGCTCATCATCTCCAGCGCCATCACCATCGCAAGCTACGTGGGGGTGATCCGCGCTGCTAAGAACGCCTCGGTGCATCAGTCGAGCTTCGATAAGGCCCGCAAGACCATCCAGCTCCACGTTCTGCAGCTGATTCTCTACCTGAGTACCCTTTTGGCCATTCCCATCTACGAATGCTGGGACGTCTCAGATGAGGAAATGGCAACTGCAGTCCTTCAAATGAGCATGTACGTGGTCATGTTTGTCATTCCCAGGTTTCTGGGCTCTTTTATCTATGGAATCAGAGATGAGCAGTTTAGACGGTGCCTGAAGAAGGGCTTGCGAAAGGTATTTGGTAAAATACGACCCTGTGTGAGCAGTGCCGGATTATCCTAGTAGGAGAAGTAGCATATGCTACGGGCCCTGCAGTTTCAACGGCCCCACGCTAAATGCTTTCAAGCTATTAATTGTGGTTCAGTGATTCTGCATTTCCACGACGTGGCTCTCGTGTTCTTTGTGAGGCAACTTCTCGCAATGTCCCACTTATTTCTGTCTTTCCATTTTTATTAACTTTCTTAACGTGTTCTTGCGGCCTTCTTGGCCACGTGTCCGAACCATCACAGACTCTAATTCTCGCTCAACATCTCCTTTATTGCTGCTATTTATTTAGCTATTTATATTCTCGACAACGGCGTTCACCAGTTCGTCTATCGACAGGTGGTCCGATCGCATCGCGACAGCCTCTCGAGATGAAATAGAGCTCGTTATAATTTAAGGTACTGTACTACAAAATAGCAGTTAAATCAAAATACCACGGTTGTTCTGTGGGGTTCGGGTTAGCTACCTCCACCTCCTCACCCCCCCGGGGCCCCTGACTTTGCTACCGACCGCGTAGGCATGGCTCAATTAGTGGCTCGTACGCTTTGCGCTTGCAGCGCGCTACGCGAGATCGGCGGCGTGCTGCGGTGAGCGTGCTCGCGAAGCAAGACTCCGTCCCGCACGGACACAGATGGGTATAGCGCGCCGACGCGTGACTCCGCAGCCGGCATTTAGCCCCGGGATCCGCTCTCACACACGTCCTACGAGCCCTGGCAATAATAAACCCGACGCTGCTACCTGCCGAGCCCCGTACACCAATTACACGCGAGGGAGTTGGGGTCGGGGGTGAGGGGGCAGGGATGTCTGCCGTGCGCGCGCTGCTGATTGGAGGGAGTCACTCCGCTCCGATTTAAAGGGCCGTTTAAACAGCCGCGCGTGTACGCGCACACCAGGCGTTTAGCTCTCCGCTTCACTATAGACAACCGCGCATGCACGCGACCGCAAGACACTCCCGTAAACAGTCGCACGGGTACGCAAACACCAAGCACTCCCATAAACAGCCGCGTAGGCACGCGCACGCTAAGCACTCCGCCTCGTTGTAAACAACCGTGCGTGCACGCAATCACCAGACGCTACACTCCCTTATTCGCCGCAAACAGCCGCGTATGCGCGCGAGCACAAAGCACTCCGCCTCCCTCTTCGTACTCACAGCGACCACGACACAGTTTTAGCCTCTATTAGCGGTTTTATCCCCGCGAATATCCCGCTAATTTATCCTGCCTATCGCTCCGCTTTCTACCCTCGATTAATAGCCCCACACTCACCTCTCTCTCTCTTACTTACGCTTACATCCTCTCTGATGCGCTGGAAGTTTGTAGAAGCGCGACGCTGTGGGTCGTCTCCGTAGAAGATCGTGCCTGGCTGCGCTAAACTCGTCACACGGACGATCCGAGCGGCCGGCTCCAAGGCTCCGTGGACTTCGATGACTGGAAGAACTCTGCCTTTACTGTCTCAATCACCTGCCTTTTATCCTACCTATCACAAAAGGCATTCCGCGGACCCTGCAATTGCTCGCCCGTGCCCTTTTGTCCATTCGCAGGCAGAGATATTTCTGTCCCTTTGACATTCGGATCCCTAATCCCACCGATAACAAAAGGCATTCAGTCGTTCCTGCACTCGTGCCCCTCTGTCCAATCGGAGGCTGAGATATTTCTGTCCCTTTGACATTTGGGATCCATAATCTCACCTATAACAAAAAGCATTCAGTTGCTTCCGCACTCGTGCCGCCCTGTCCATTCAGATGTCGGAATGTTCCTGTCCCGTTGTTATTTGGATCCGTAATCTCACCTATAACAAAAGGCATTCAGTTCCTAATCCTATCTATAACAACAGGCATTCAGTTCCGTACGCCCCTTGGCCTCCTGCCCAATCGGAGGCCCGGATTTTCCCGCCTTCTCCAGTACTTTGATCATGCTCTGGTGGTGTCACCATGGTGGTTTCTCGGACGTCCTCTCTCCGTTCTTCCCGCTATTAGCCCACTGACTCGTGTTTGTGTGTGTGCGGTTTTCACTCGCGGTAGCTCAACGGCCTTTGCCGTGACCACGTAACTTTAATGTCAGGTCACGGCGCCGCGGTGCATGTCAGCCTCGGGGGTAGATCGCCCAATTTCCCGGCCGCAGGAAGCCATGAAGCTTGATCCCATTAGGGGCTTCTGGATAAAAACCTGTCGGCCAGGTGACCTTCCCTCCCAGCTCTACGTGGGGTGTGCGTGCATTCATGTGGGGTGGGGGGAGGCAGCGAAGGGCGCGCCGCATCGGCACCGTCACTCCCCGGTGGCGGTGTCACGGCGGTGGGCACGGCCCCGACGGAGCGGCTCCGCTGCGGCGGCACCACAATATCCCCCTTCATTGTTCCGATCAGCTTCGCATTTCAGCCACGCCATTTGAGACCCATTCAGGGCAGTGAGAAAGGTGCCCGTGGCTGTAAATGAGAGACGATGTCACAACGTGAGGCTACACTGTGCAAATATAGCAGCTCACAGCCTACACCAAGGGTGGGCAACGTCCGGCCCGCTGGCCGTATAAGGCCTGCGAAATCATTTGGTCTCTGGCCCTGCCAAAGCAACCGCAGGCGGGACTCGAAATTCAATAAATCTAAGAGCAAACCTGGAAAAGCAGTTGGGAGTAGCAACATCATCAATACCAGTTAAAATCTCACAACACGAGCGGAAAATATCCCCCCCACCCCCACATGGTTTGGTGTCCCAATACGAAAAGTCCTATTCAACACAGCACTTACTGCAAGTACAGCATAAACGTCACCAAAATGTTGATTCTGTTTTGTTTTAAAAAAAGGGAGTCCTGACAAAGCAGGACCACAAAAAATTGTTTAAGACTCATTAGAGTGTTCCTCTCCACGGAAATCTTTAGTAAAAGGCGAAAGATTTATTCGATCTGAAGAGAAACCAGAGTAAAGTTTAGCGCACCACTCTTAGGTACTTATATGAACTCTCGCTATCTTTATCCTATGGGGCCTTTATTTCGTGACCACATTTTCATTCAATTGAACTTTCATATAATCAAATATTTATATATAAACTTCTTTAAATTAGTGATTGTTTCATTCTTATTAATGTATCTACGCGAGGGTTATTTAAGTAAAAGAAATAGTATACATACTCTATTTACTTCACGCTGTGCATAAATTATAGTATTTGACCAATGGGGAGCGGTTTGGGCCTCTTCCCCTCTCCTGGCTCCTGGACAGGCGCGGTTTGTCCACTAGGGGGCGGTGGGGCACCGCCCGAACCAACAACTAGAGATGAGAAATTATTTTATCATAAAATGTAAATTATTTCAACGTGAATTGCTTGCAACGCCGCGGTCTGATTTGTGCCTCGGGGAGGTCTCGGCGCAGCTGTGAAGGCGACCGAGTGAGAGATATCCCCCTTCATCGTGGCGATCAGCTTCACATTTCAGCCACGCCGTTTGAGACCCATTCGGTCGGTGAGAAAGGCGCCCGTTGCTGTAAATGAAAGACGATGTCACAACGTGAGGCTGCACTGTGCAAATATAGCAGCTCACGGCCTACACCAGGCGTGGGGAACGTCCGGCCCGCTGGCCGTATGAGGCCCGCAAAATCATTTGGTCTCTGGCCCTGCCAAGGCTACCGCAGGCGGGACTCGAAATTCAATAAATCTAGGAGCAAACCTGGAAAATCAGTTGCGAGTAGCAGCAACATCATTAATACCAGCTAACATTATCAACGCCTCACCAAAGAGAAGCAGTTCCAGCCATCACATTGGGCGTGACTTAATTTAATGTTTGACCAAATTTAACGGGCTAATTTTTAAGTTGATGATTTTGTATGGCCCGCGATTGATGTTATAAATATCGAAATGGCCCTTAGCAGAAAAAAGGTTCCCCACCCCTGCACGCTCTGGAAGGAAACAACATCAATGGCGATGACAGCAGCTGCAAGCAATATTTAAATTTAATATTTAGAAGTGGAGTCACTTCTAAATATTCAATTTGAAAGGTTGTCTATGTAGGAGAAGTTGAATGTCAAGCAACTGGGTCCTGATCAAGCGATTAGAACCCCGCATTTTCAGAGGTCACTTACAACAGCCCCACCTAAAGGAAATATGCTCCTGACACAATGCCTCATTACCCCCCCTCCCCCCCAAGTTTTATGTCACCCCCACCCAGCTAAGACCAGGACTATCCCAACCCCTCCGTAACAAACCCTCCCGTTCGACTGACATTAAAACAACAGCACTTACAATCAGCCGATGATTCATTTACAATCATCATCTTGCGTGCAATGTTATAATTGCTGTGCGTTAGAAAAGGCGTTATATAAATCTAGCTAAGATGACGTGGCCCAATAACTTTGTAAATATTCGATAGCTTTTTACAAGGGAATACATTTGAACAAATCTTGTAATTTATTATCTCCAGAATGTTTAATCAAACACAAGTAGGAAGCATGCGCATTTGAAATGGCTATCATTGTGTGCTGTACACTTTCGTTAAACTCTTCTTTATGACTTAAAATCTCACATCATCACGAGCGGAAAATATCCCCCCCAACATGGTTTGGTGTCCCAATACGAAAAGTCCTATTCAACACAGCACTTACTGCAAGTACAGCATAAACGTCACCAAAATGTTGATTCTGTTTTGTTTTAAAAAAAGGGAGTCCTGACATAGCAGGACCACGAAAAATTGTTTAAGACTCATTAGAGTGTTCCTCTCCACGGAAATCTTTAGTAAAAGGCGAAAGATTTATTCGCTCTGAAGAGAAACCAGAGTAAAGTTTAACGCACCACTCTTAGGTACTTATATGAACTCCCGCTATCTTTATCCTATGGGGCCTTTACTTCGTGACCACATTTTCATTCAATTGAACTTTCATATAATCAAATATTTATATATAAACTTCTTTAAATTAGTGATTGTTTCATTCTTATTAATGTATCTACGCGAGGGTTATTTAAGTAAAAGAAATAGTATACATACTCTATTTACTTCACGCTGTGCATAAATTATAGTATTTGACCAATGGGAAGCGGTTTGGGCCTCTTCCCCTCTCCTGGCTCCTGGACAGGCGCGGTTTGTCCACTAGGGGGCGGTGGGGCACCGCCCGAACCAACAACTAGAGATGAGAAATTATTTTATCATAAAATGTAAATTATTTCAACGTGAATTGCTTGCAACGCCGCGGTCTGATTTGTGCCTCGGGGAGGTCTCGGCGCAGCTGTGAAGGCGACAGAGTGAGAGATATCCCCCTTCATCGTGGCGATCAGCTTCACATTTCAGCCACGCCGTTTGAGACCCATTCGGTTGGTGAGAAAGGCGCCCGTTGCTGTAAATGAAAGACGATGTCACAACGGGAGGTTGCATTGTGCAAATATAGCAGCTCACGGCCTACACCAGGCGTGGGGAACATCCGGCCCGCTGGCCGTATGAGGCCCGCAAAATCATTTGGTCTCTGGCCCTGCCAAGGCTACCGCAGGCGGGACTCGAAATTCAATAAATCTAGGAGCAAACCTGGAAAATCAGTTGCGAGTAGCAGCAACATCATTAATACCAGCTAACATTATCAACGCCTCACCAAAGAGAAGCAGTTCCAGCCATCACATTGGGCGT